GGCTGCAAGGGCAGAAGCAAGTTTGCTGGGACTGTCAGTTGCAGGAGACCCGGTGTTTTCTGAGCCAATCACTGGCCTGAAAGATCTCCTCACTGTCTGGAGGACACTCGGGGCCCAGCTGGCAGTGCTGACTAGGACCATCCTCGCTACCTCCTTCTGAATGGCTGCGTTCTCCTGATCACCCTCCTCAGTGAACCCTTTCCCAAAAGAGACGGGTGTACCATGTTCTCCTGTCAGTAGCTGTGGGAATGGGTTCTCGCTCTGCTCCAGCGTGAATGCTGCTGCACCATCGGAGGAAAGGGGTCCTCCCCAGTAGAGGACCAAGGGTGCAGGCACAGGGGTGTTCAGCCCATGACAAACTTGTGCTCCTGTGCTGCTCATCACCCTGAGTGTGGAGTGAGCTGTGGGGCTCACATGCAGGCACCAGCAAAACCGCAGAAAGCCAAAGCATGAGCTTTGTAGCTTCTGTTGTGCATTTTCAAATGTTCTGCGTCTCACCCTAAAAAAACTTCCCGGGAGGTAAACTGACCCTCCCGGTGTTGAAAGAAGACCCATCACTCCCTTTATCCTATTAAATACTGGAGAGAAAACAGCACATGAGGTGAAGAAGGCTGAACATGGCACCCAGGGCCTTCTCCTGCAGGTACTTTCATGGCTGAAAGCAGCAGCTCTCACCACAGGCAGGACAGCTTCCTTGCACGGAGCTCACTGCAGGCATGAGGCTGATGATCCTCGCACAGAGCAGTCCGACTCAAGTCCTGTGCTCCCCCTAACTGGGGCTGAGTGGCTACAGAGACGCTGAAGGAGTCGTGCTTGAAGATGATCTTCCCAGCAAAGTGGTTGTGCTTCCAACTGTGCAGGGCACCAACCCTGGGAAAGTGAGTGGCATGAAAGACGTCCAGTGGCCAAGAGCTCAGACAGCCCTTGGCCTCTTCGGCTCAGTCATGTGTTGTTCCTACAAGAGCCTGCAGCTCTGTGACAGTGGGAACTGCAGGGACAGTAAAGCAACAACAGCCATTACATCAACACACAAGGACCAGTGCATCTGCTTATGGCTTAATTTGATTTCTGTAAGTCACTAAACCATCCATGTCAGTTCTTACAGGGGGTTCAGACCCACCAGGTGATCTCCCCTTCCTCCATCAGCTCACTGTGAAACCCAGATCCCTCTCAGGACGCTGCACACAATCTCTGCATGAAAGCTGAAGGGGGAAAAGCCAAAACAAAGCTGGACGCTGGTGGAAAAGCTGCCAGCCATAGCAACAGGCAGGCAACAGGGCCATGGCAGGAGGACATCAGAGCCTCTATCAGGTGAGATCATCCAGTCCAACCCCCCTGCCAGACCAGGATCACCTATAGACCAGGTCACACAGGAACGCGACCATGTGGGTTTTGAATGTCTCCAGAGAAGGAGACTCCACAACCTCTCTGGGCAGCCTGTTCAGTGCTCTGTCACCCTCACAGTGAAAGTTTTTCCTCATGTTCACATGGAACCTCCTATGCTCCAGCTTGCACCCATTGCCCCCTGTCCTATCATCTGACATCAAATGATGTCAAATGGAGATATCAAAAGAGATTATGTGGGAAGAGTTACGTGCAGATGTGGTGGTGCAGGATCTGGAGTCAAGGGCCGGCCTTGCTTGTCCTGTGAAATGAGAGGGCTGAGGGGAGGAGGTGAAACACAGGACAGGTATGGCTGGGTGAGCAGGAGACAGACGATCCTGCCACAGGCATTTTGATGAACTTGGCTGGCAGAAGGGGAGATGGAGGCATAACTCCAGTTTCAAGTGGGACTGAGAACAGAGTTCAGTTCATAGCAAAATTTCACCCAACCAGCAGCAAACACACAGATGTTGGAAACTGCTCAACACCACTGAAGTTGACAAATGGGCATCTAGAAGCATTCAGTGCCAACAGGATTGAACTGCATCATGAAAAACAAAACAAATTAGTTCTTACTGTTTCCCAGCATGCAGTTCTGAGAAAGTTCACCAGACATCACTGAGGAAGGCCAGCAGCAAAGTCCTCTTTTTGTTTCATGTAAGCCTCTATCTAATCTCAGGTTGGTTTACGTCCTCTGACCTGGCTGCTCCTGCTCTCCTCACAGCTGTGGTTCCCACATCTGGGGTGGTCTCCTCCTCAGCCATACCCACCTGTACATGGGTTGCCTCAGCCTGCTGTCCATCCCACAGGACAAGCAGCAGTGTATGCATCAGTCCGTAGGTGTTCAGTCTCCTTCAGAGGACTTGGTTTCCAGTGCTCAGTCTTCTTTCTGCCTTATTCCACAATGCAGCCTTTGCTTCTGTGTCCCTGTGCACGCAAGTGCTCTTGCTCTCCTTCTGTCTTATTACCTGAATTCAACTGTGATGAAAGCAGTAAAGATTCAGCCTTCACAACACAGGTCACAAGCAATCTTAGATGAGCATATTTTAAAAGCCTGCAAACTATTGGGCTGCTAAGTGAATTAAGAAATAAATCCCAAGTGTTGCAAGCTTCTCAGCTTGCTTAGCAGAGTAAAATGCTCTAAGCTCTGGGCAGCTGCTTTGGGGACACTGAATAAACATTTTCACAGAATCACAGAACGTTAGGGATTGGAAGGGACCTCAAAAGATCATCTAGTCCAATCCCCCTGCCGGAGCAGAGGATTTTAAGAGCTTGGTGCATCTGGCTTTGCAGATGCTGTCACACAAAGCTGCAGACCACATGTGCACTTGTCCACTTACTGGTGGGACATGGATACTTCTACTGGTAAGCTTTCACTGGCCAAAGGGAAGGAAGGGGAAGCGGCTGGCTGCAGTGGTGTAGGGTTAATCCTTGCAATGCTACATGTGCTGTGGAAGGCAGCACCTTCCCTGTGGCAGCTAGGTGCAGGGAAGTGTGTGTGTGTACTTCTGCACTAAATGAAAACTCGCATATCACTTGGGATGTTTGTGCAGCCTAACTCAGTGCAACACAGAGGTATAAGAACAAGTGTAGGTAATAAACTCAGGAAAGAAAAAAAAAATAAAAATTGGGATGTTCATTTACCAGGGATAATTAGAGCACCACTAAACTGACCATATTGCTTCCACTTCTAAGCCAGCTCAGGAACCTCTGCATGGCACTTCTATGACAGAAATAGATCTGCAGGAAGACATTTGCTCCTCCCACCTTTTCTATGGGGTATGTGTGGAGCAACTATGTAGGAATAAACTCACTTCAGGTGTCCTACATTGATCCAGAGAGGCAAAAGAAAACACTTGCAACTCAATACGTGTATTCTCGAGAAGGAATTCATTTAATCACATACACTTTTTCTTGTCTTAATCAGAGTTATTTGTTCGTTAAAAATCTCACATTTTATCCATACTTATTACATTGCATCAGAGTAAAATGAGGACTAACATTTTAAAAAAGCATTGCAGTTATATATTAAAGGCCACTGTTCTTCTAGTAAGGGCTTTGCCTCACAGTTTAGAGTTAAGCTGTGTCAGCATCTTCTCGAGCTTTATTGCCAGTGCCATGTTACCTTTGATCTTTAATTTTCCTGACATGAAGGCCAGGGTTGGCTTTAGCTTACCTAAAAAGAAGAAACAGAACCATCAGAAAATGAAAAGGAGCTGAAGACAGCCTTTGCATGCAAATATGTAATGCCACCACAGTGAGACTTAGCAGCTGTACTGCTACCAAGTTCAGCTGTAAAAGCATTGCATGTGTAGGAAGCAGAGATCGGAGATGTGCAGAACAGAAGTCCAACAGATTGACTCAATTATTTCTGAAGCTCCACTGGCTGCTAACATTTCAATACCTGGTTAACAAAAGCAGTATAAGCTTTTCTGCTCTTCCTGCTCACAGAACAGAGGCGTTCAGAGAAATCCACGGGGTTCTATCCTGCAGTTTCACTTGAGCCACAAAAAGCCAACAGTGCCTCCATCCCAGGACCACAAAGCCAGGAGGCCACCTGTTTGCCCATCAGCAGAGGTTTTCTGGGCAGCAGCACCTGTGTCCCCTGACAAAGGCCTTTATCACTCACCTGTGAACATCTTCACAAAGTTGGCACTCGACAGGCTCATGACCACGTCAGCTGGCACAGGAGGCTTTCCAAAACCAGCACTCCCACTCTTGGTTTTCAGGTCGATATACCAAGTACCACCTCCATCACCTGAACAGACAGTAGGAAGAGGTAACAAGGCAGCCTTAAGTGCCATGCCCCCACTATTCCTCCCTATCAGACAGCTGCTGCCAATGGGGGCAGTTACAAGGTACTGCGTACACTGGTGGTGCTCTACAAGAAGTCACCACTGCCCCGCGCTCTGCATGCAGGCAAAGACAGCCTCTGGCAGATGCCCCACAGCACTGGGGACACAGGCAGAAAAGTCCAAAGAGCTGGGGGCAGCTGGCACTTTTAATGTGACCCTGCGAGCACCCTGTCCATTGTCATGCTAACCCTGTGCGGCAGGGCCAGCACTGTGGCAAAGCCTGCCTGCAGACACCAGGAGTGGCAGCAGCTCCCGGTGCGAGCTGGGGTTGGTCCTGAGGAGCATCACACAAAACAGAACCAAAGGCAGTCCATTTCAGGATCAGCTGGAAAAGGTGAGGGTTCTGTCTGAGAACACTGCTTGACGTTTGCTAGAAGCGGGAGCACAGGAAGGTTTTACAAGTGATGGTCTTACCAGATAGCTCAAACTGAAAGACACCCTGAGTAGTTCTCACAAACTCTTCACTTATTGCCCCCTGAATAACTCTGAATGTTTCAGCAACAGGACTGGACTGCTTGGCTGAAGCAGATTCTGTGTTAACCTTCACTCCATCTGCTCCTTCATGCTGGGCACCTACAAGAAAAAGATTGTTTTTCAAAGGCAAAACACTTTTAAATTGCATGTAGAAACATACATAGTGAACCCCATTTGAAGGTATTCAGCCTCATCAAAGGCAAAATGAGTCTTTTCCCATTTCACTATAAATCCTGATAAAGGATGTTTTTAGCACCTGCCAATCTTAACAGATGTACAGCACTAAAGGTAATTTTGCAATGTATTTCACTTCCTAATACATTAAAAGGAAAGTGAAAAGAAAACCACAGCAGAATATTACAAATGCTTACACAACACACTGTTTTCTAACTCAATCCATACGCTCCCAACAGCGCTCAGAAAAAAAAAAGCAAACAGTGTCTTGTGCCTCAAAATACTTCTGCCTTTTCTATCTTGCTAAGAACACGGCTATTTTCACTAACTCTTCTGCAAAGGCTTCTGAGCCGTAAGTGAACCCTCTGCTTTACTCAGCATTATACTATACTGCAGTGAACGTCTGCATTTAACAAAAGAGGACAGCATTTGCAAATTACAAGGCTGATCAAGCTGAACAGCCTCTGAAAATATTATCAAGTCTCTTAGATGTCTTCGGTATCAAAACACAGTTAGGACCATTCTGTGAGTCTCTCCTAAATAACCTGCCTTGTGAACAAACACCACCCGTCCCTGGCAGAACGGCCCCGGTGTGACTGCTCAAAGAGTATTTCCAAAGGAAGGGACTGCTGAGACTTGGCCTTCTCTGCCGTTCTCTTCTCCCGGTTTTCGCACTCCTACAAAAGCTGTTCGGCATTCTTACCTGCTCTCTGACTTCACTTACTACAAATCTGAAAAATCAAACCTGATGCCTTCCTAAAAAAGACTTCTGCATTTCATCTAAGAGATACTTAAACTGTGTAAATTTTACAAGTTTTTTCTAAGACACAATGAGGGCTCTACATTGTGTTATTTTGTATTAATTTAGCAAGGCAGATGATATGCTTCTGCAAAGTATGCTGTTTGCTATTTAATTTCTTTTTCCAGCAATATTTACCTGTGGCCTTCATACTACCACAATTCATATGGTTAAAAATGATACTTCAAAATAAGGCACTGATTTTATACTGTAAAAGTCCTGCAGGAAGTAACATTCTTTCCTTAGCTTTAAGTACAGAGTAATTTCTGTAAATCATACTCTGCAAATGTGAAGAGTTTTTGCCACATAGTTTGAATGGAGTCCAAGCTCTTGGGATAAAACAAGAAAAAAATAACCTGAAATAGAGAGGACATTAATTACTGTCAGAAACGGTTGACTTTTGCACACTTTTTTTCCCCTACCATATCTGTCTTGTTTCATGCTTCTCATGTCAGTTTCAGTATCCAAGAAGAAGTCTGGTATCAGAGGGTGACCTAAAAGGGAGGAAAAACGTTAACAGTAAGTCCAAGTAAAGCTGGACAGCACAAACAGGAATCCATTTTGTAGGAAACTACACCCAAAAAGACATGGCATGAAATTACATGTTTCGAGTTTGGTTCATTTAAAATCTGACCTAGACGCCTCTTAAAGTTGCAATGAAAAACATCTGAAATAATAAAAAAAAAAAAAGATCTATCTCACTAGCTGGTAAATAGTAATATATACATCTACAGTGTAGGTACATTTTCTTTTCATTAAAGCATTTTCTTTAAATTTAATAAGCACTTGATGGTTAGAAACTCAGTGGACTCACATGTGCTTTCCAGGAAGTGCTGTTCTGAAAGCTGAGGCAAGGCAACCTTTTACAGACTAATTTAAGAGCTCCTAGACACAAAACTATAGTAATATTCTCCACAGGGCTTTACCCCCTTCACAAACCTATTTCTCATCCTAAAGATCTGTTTTACCTGGTGCAATTGCATAGACATCAAAATCCTTAACTCCTTCTTCTCGCAGCAGAACTTCATCAATAATGAAGTTTCCAGTGAAAGTTTTTGGTTTTGTTAAAATACAATATGCAGCATCGGCAAGGATGTCCGTTTTCCTGCACTGCTTTTCTATTCCGGATCCTCCCAGCATATCCATAGCAGCTGTGTGTATGGCTAGAAAGTTTGGAGGGTAAGAAAACAAAGCTTTAACACTGACAACATGAAATTTCCATTTCTCTGGCAAGTACAAAAACTTTGTTTTCCTTTCATGAAAAAGGAAATTCTAAGAAGACCAAGCTATGAAATACTCTCAACCAACAAATAATTCTCTACAATCACCAGTAAAAAACAGAAAACTACTAAAGGAACCAACAAGTGGAATAACGGGCAGGACTTTTTATGACATTCACATCCCTCTATCCCTTTACCCCCCTCCATTTATTCCCTCCAGCTTATTCAGGACATGAAAAACTAACAGGAAAACTAGTTTTCTCAAAATGAATCTACGATACCTCAGTCATTAAGAGGTATTTCCTTTGGTGGTTACCACACTGAATATCTTGATGCTTAATTTTAGCCTTGTAATAACTCCCTTAAGATACCAAAGTGTCTCTCCTACGTTAATGAGAAACCAAATAGCAAAAATGCAAATAACTTGTTCAATATTCCACAGAAAGGCTGTGTTAGACCCACAATAAAATCCAGATCTCCTACGCTTTTGGTTGATTTATTAACCAATTCTACCAACTTCTGCACCACTACATAGTCTTCTTTACACTTCCCCTAGGGGAGCTACAAGAGGTATCCATTTCATTTTTCTTTCATCCTACTCTACAGAGGGGCTGTTTGGCTGTAGCTTTTGCCACTTGTCATGTTAGTTTTCCCCTCATACAGTTCTGCTTCATGACTTTTTCCCATCTGCTGTTTAAGACTCAACACTCTGCCCCTAAATTTTGGGACAGATTTGAAAATCCTCTCCTACACCTGTGGTTGGCAGATCCTGATTTCAAAATCACTTTTGTCCTCCTTTCCATGTTCCCATTCCACACAAAGTAACAGCAGCTTTGATGCAGAAATTATCTCAACATCCCCTGAAAAGCGAAGAACAGGGACTGTGCAGGACACACCTGTCTGAGCTGGATCTTTCACCTTCCAGCGTAGGAACTGAGAAAGAGGACAGCAGTCTTCAATGCTGGCAGGGAGATCCTGCCAAAGTGTTTTCCAGGAAAGTGCAAGAGTGGGCTCTTTCGTAGTGAGGATTAACACCTAGGTTTTAATTACCTTTGACCAACCTCAGCTTCTTTTTTTCAAATCACCTGAACTGCACACCTAAATAGTGACGAATAGGTATACTGTACATAGACATAGGTCTCCCTAGGTCTTTTTCTCTTTTTTTAAGGATACGAAATATTGGCCTCTCTTTAGTCCTCTGGAATGTGATCTGTCCTGCAAGATTTTAAAATATTTTCAAAGAACTACCAACAGGTCAGAGAATATTTGACCAATAGGTCAAATGATGAAATGTACAAGGTTTAGTTGACCTGAGTATGATCCACTATTCTGAGGATTCATCAACCTGTTCGCTCTTCCTGGCCCACACTTCTGCCACTTCTCTGCAGTGTCCGCTACAGTCCTTCCAAGCACAGTAAGCCTATGTGCACGACTGAAGCAAAAAGGTTTTAAACGGGTTCTGTGTCATAGTCTGGCTGCAGATTGCTCTCCTCTAATGCACACACAGAGTCCCAAGACTCTGCACACAGTTCTGTCCCAGGATACCTCTGTTTTTCACGCACTCTCTTAGCAATGGGATTGCTCTTTTGGTAGGCTTCCTCTTCACTTTTAGATAAATGGAGAGCTCCTGGCATCTTATTACCAGCATACCTTCACATGGAAAGAGTCAGATTAATCAACAGATACTGGCATCCATACTAGCGCTGAGGCTAATCACATTATTATGAGATTATAGTGAACTGTTTAATTAAGTACTTTGCAACTGTATCTTAGATACTTTAGATCGAAGTTTGTAACTCTCTTTAGTGACCTCATTAAAGTAGTTAACTTTGTCACTTTTGGATAAACCCTTTGAAAGAACTTTTTTTTTTACTGAAGAATTTGCACATTGTTATCCTCTTTTATACTTTTAGATACACATCAGTTTTCATGGAGGCATCACTGACTTATAAAACCTTTGACAGCTTATCTAATGTTTCTAACAGTCTTAAACTGAATAAGCAAGAATGGATACACAAACCTCTATCTGCATATTTTTGATTTTATAGAAAGCTCAATTACTTTTTTAATTACTTTGCAGCATCTCACAGAGAAAAATCTTTTTTTTAAAAAGCACTTACTAGAATATACCATAGACACAAACTGAATCTTCCTGCACTTCCAGGCCTCATGTTCTACAGGATCCTGAAGGGGAACAGGTATGAGCTGCACTGTATAACAAGTGCCAGCTTCTGCAGTGTTATCCTCTCACTCACTTTAGAGCATACAAAGATGTTACCAAGGGGACACACTTGGTCTAAAGCACAGAAGAAAGATACCACTTTCTTTGGTTTGGGGGCTTCCTCCCACCAGTAAGAATGCCAGATTTTGTAGAAGTTTCATTAATACCATCACGAACATCCTTTAATACCAGACCATATGTGGGATGCTGGTACTGACATTTGGAGTGCTGCAGCATATGCAAATATTGGAAAAAAATAATATCTACAACTATGCAATGTAAGAATTACTGTAACTTCTGCCTATAAAGTCTGCCATCACTCTGAAAAATTTCTCATCACGAGGGGTGGACAAACTCTCCCAGCTTCTGTTTTCCCTTGCTATGAAAAAGAGGAGGCCAAATTATTCAGACGGGTGGGGTAAATCACCTACACTGCAAAATAAAAACCTAGTATAATCAGCTGGTCTCTGCAGGAAGACTTCTTTCACTCTCAACAGTATGTTAGGACCCATAAAACCAGCAATTCATTTCCACATTTTTATGTTTTCTCCAGCATATCCAGAATCATACAGAGGTGTTGAAGAATAAGAAAGGTGTGGAAGGTACACATAACATGCCCATGCAGCATGTAAATATGTGCCTTTACAAGATACAGATAATCCTGTAACACCTTCTGTGTGAAAAAATAAGTCAAACAGTAATGTTGTCTGTAGCTTGACACACCTCTTGCACACCTCTGTGCAATGAGATACTCTGGAAACTTCTAGGAACAGGTATTTTAAATATTTTTTCTAAATTTTTAGTGGTATATATCTGGTCAGTTTCATTTATGCTCCGGCAATTTAATCAGCAAAGAATTCTTAAAAAGAGTATTACATAGATGTTTAATAACTACTAATGAAAGCATGCTAATGTTTTTGTGATTCTGTCCAAACCAAAACTCTGAGTGCACAAGAAAGAGCACAGGCAAGACAAATACTACAGAGATGCTTCAGCAAATGGAAAGGGTAGAAAGGGTTACAAACTAGCTGAAGGTAAGTTTGGATCAAAAGGGACACAGTCTAGCAAGAACTAACAATGAAAACCAACACTCATGCAGGATGAACAAAGAATATGCAAAAACACTGCTCAGTCTCCTGAATCGATTCCAGAAGTTTGAAGTACATTCAGAGTAAAATAAAACAAGCTTAGAAGACAAATACAGAAAGCTAACTACTTACGTTAGTATAAATTTTAAAAATCACCTGTTTTAGGCCATAAAGCATTGACAGCAACTTCTCCTCTAAATTCTTCTGCCATTCCCAAGACACACATGGACATCCCATATTTAGAAATAGTATATGCTAAGACAAGAAGTATAAAAACATTAGTTATTTAGTAAAATGAAAATTTTCACTTTTATCAACAGAACTTTTAATTATGAAGGAAAGAAAAACCAAATTATTTGATTGTAAGGAAAACTAAGTTTCTGGGGACAAAACAGAGTCAAAATCTCTCCCTTCTTCCCACCACTCCCAGCTGACACAAACTGTAGTCCTGTCACCTTTTCACTACAAATAAAATGAACACAACGAATATTTTGAAAAAGAAACCTGAAGCCCAACTGTATGGTGGTTTTGTTGTGCTTCTTATACACAGCATACCAACAAGAGTGTTCATTTTTTTCTAGAGGCCTACAGCATGCTAGCTACTAACAACCAAACTAGTATTCTACAGAAAACAAAAAGTGACAGGGGGGGAAGAAAATTCAATATCCTTGTCATGTATCTATTTTGAGAAAGGAAACTTTTGGGGGAATGACCTGGAACTTACTGGAGAAGCTTGAAATTGAAAGGCTTTTTTACAGTTTTAAAATAAGCAACATTAAACTCAAGACAAAATAGGGTCCCTTTCCCACCTTAAAATATATTTCCATTTTAAAAGATAACATTGAGCTTTATTAAATCAACTGTGAAGCTGAATCAGTAAGAAAATAGATTTCGGGATCTCTATTTGGAACAGAAAATATTTTGTTGTCTTAAGAATTCCCACGAAAAAGTACAGACTCACCTCAAAAACATTCTTGAAAACATAAAGGACATAGGAGGCCATGAAACCTGCACTATGTTTACCCACAAAACAATTTATTTTAGTTAGGTACAGAACACTCTGGGGAACCGTTAGTGTCAGTCGCTAAAGACACAAGATCTAGCGTTCTGGTCTGGCACTCCTGCACATCTCACCAGGTATTTACATGGTCCTCAAAAAAATAACAACAGACACCCTGAATGCTACTCACCACAATGATTTTTGAACCACATAGGATTCAGATTCATAGGTGGGCTGAGATTCAGGATATGGGGGTTCCTACTCTTCCTCAAGTGGGGAAGGCATGTTTTAGACCTGAAAGATAGATTCAGACAAATCAGTCACCTCTTATTATATGGAACAGCAGTCACTCCAGTAAAAAACATATTAGCAGACCAGTATTTTCATTTTCATGGAAGTCCAACACTAAACTGAGACCCTTCCCTTGTATCAGTTATTTAACTGATATAAAGAACAATTAAAAAAAAAAAATCTGTCCTAGCTCATTTATTTCAGGCCTAATACTCATTCTTGCTAACTGGACCACATCCTGCAAACAGTGCAGCAGCATTTACTAAAGTTGATTTCCTAGATGCTCAGAAACCATAATCTCCTTTTAGTAGTTCTGGAAGGGGCAACAAAACACAATGAGGCACCAAGTGAAATTAACAGTGCAAAGCATCACTTAGTCATAAATATATTATCTTCTGATGACATATATATTCTCTGCTAAATGGAAGAATCATTGTATCCTTCAACTTAGAATTTCCACATATCTGTAAATCCTAACTTTTACTTTACAGAATCCATCATTTGACTTCATTTCTAGCACTAAGGTACATGTTTGCATTTGATCTCTGCTGGAGGATTTTTAATCTAGCTCCACAGGAAGGACAGCACTGCTGTGGCCTGCACTGCAGGCCTAC